TTCGGATCATATTTAAGTTTAATTCTATAGCATTTCGAAAATTCGAGGTATTGGGTAAAAAAAAAAGAAATTTACTAAATAACTTAGAGTGTCTCTTATTAGAGATGACTAATAAAGAGGATTCCTTCAATTTAAGAGCTGTTTTCGAAGACAGTTGCTTACAACAAGATACAAAAACAAGTCTGCGCGTAGAAAATGATCTTTCTGTTGTCGGTGATGTTCATTGCATCCAAAAATACTGCCGTAGAAGTAACTCAAGTTATTCAAAATGAAATAATAGAAATTGAGCGATTGCTCAATTCGATTCGCAAATTATCTCGTACTCGATATAAATCGAAGAGTAGCTTGAGAAAGCCACATTAAAAGCTTGAGAAAGAAACTCAATATAAAGACAAAGAAAAATGAATTGGCTTTTTGGACGAAAATCACAGCTCAGTTTAGAGAACAAAGTTCGACTTTATAAGGCTATCTTGAAGCCTGTGTCGACCTATGGTATCCAGTTATGGGGTACTGCAAACCCATCAAATATTGAAATCCTTCAACGATATCAGTCCAGCGCTCTTAGACTTATTGTTGACGCCCCTTGGTTGTAGCTAATGATCAAATACACAAAGATTTAAATACTAAATACGTTAAAGAAGAAATAAAAAGTATAAGCACAAGGTATGTTGAGAAGCTACATGGTCATGAAAATGTTCTGGCAATAATTCTACTGGATAATAGCCATACTCGAAAGCTTAGAAGAAAACGTGATTTATCTTTTAGAGATTAAGCTTTGTAAATATTGTAAATAAACTCTTAATTATAGAATTTTGGATATAATAGCTGTCTCACTGGAGTTCAACTATTTATGTTATAATGCTATATATTTTTTAAACTAATTTACTTATTGTCTAAAGATGGAGGATGGAGTCATGTGTAGAAGTTCACGCAAATGAGGATAGTTTTCTGATCACCATTCACTGGGGAGTGGCCAGAAACGATTCTTTTACATATGACTCAAGCAGCTCACGACTTCCGGTCCTTGGCCAAGTATCCTCTGGGTAGCCTAAGAACATCCGTTTGAAGGTGAGCTAAAGTGAGAAGGCGAAACATTCCCTGCATAGGGTTGTGCGCTGGGTTTGGGACCCGCCACGTAAAAAAACCACCCCAATGACAACACAACAACAGCCTCGGATGAGAGTTCCCTGCAAAGCTTATACGGCTGTGTAAGCTGACGTTGAGCAACACCAAAAGCTCCGTCAGAATCGGGAAGGACCTCTCCGAGCCGTTCGATACCAAGGGAGGTCTCAGACAAAGCGACTCCTTATCATGCGACTTTTTCAATCTGCTGCTGGAGAAAATAATTCGAGCTGCAGAACTAAATAGAGAAGGTACAATCTTTTATAAGAGTGTACAGTTGCTGGCGTATGCCGATGATATTGA